TAGGGTTCCGTGAGTTAGGATTGCTTTTTAGTCAATTTTGATTTTTGAAACCAATAATCTATTATTTATTTAATACTTTGGTCTAAAATTATCTAAGTAAAATATCAATGAAAAATGAAATAACAAAATTTGAGGAAATATATCTAATTTCCAATAATAACATATTGTTATTAGAAAATAAGAAAACGAAAGAAATTGCGAAAAGAATATATGTTTACGAATTACTGAGTCAGTATTTATCATCAAACTTTACAATACAAAATTAACACTAGAAAGACTGAAATTTATTGTATACCAATATTGCCCAAAGGCAGTCAAAATGACAGGATTGTAAAAGAATAAATAATGTGTAAATTTTGTTTAAAATTAATTTTTAATATTTCTTATATTATTTACAGTTATATAACAAGTTTTCGGTAAATATTAACAATAAAAAAATTGCATGTTGTTCAAAATTCTAAGAAATTGTGTCATTATATACATTATTGTTTTTCTAATTGAAATTAAAAGCAGTCAGAATTACTTGCTTAGGCAATCTAGTGTTAAATAACCAAATTCAAGAATAAAGAAGTATTTTCTGAGTTTATAACAGTTCTTTTTCAAAATCCATAATTCAGCTAATTTTATTCAATTTCAACTTAAGCATACGACAAAGACTAAACTAGAAACCATTGCAGATCCGCCTAACATAATTTAAAGACTGTTCTCGTTTTTTTTTTTTTTAAAAAAGGGGGGGGGGGAATTTTGTAAATTAATCCGTAGATTATTTTAGTTAGTATATTAGAAGTTACGAATTAAATTTATTCATTAAGTCGGGATTCCGCTAAAAGATGCTTTATTATTTAGGGTTCCGGAGCCAAAAAAAAAAAAATTGGAACCACTGATTTAAGGAATCCAGTCAACAAATACAATCAAACAATAAACAAATTAGCATATAGAATGGGAGAATTTTAACGATGCGTGCACTTTAACGGGATCTGCAGATTAGCTTGGTAATGTGCATAGTGGCGGCAACATTAGCAGATATTCTATGACGCTAATTCCTTGTTCATTCGTAATAAACTAATTTATGTTCGAAATACTTTTGATTTTTCTGAAAGTGAAACTGAAAAAGAGAATATAAAATATTTTCTTTTGCCGGAACCTACGTATTTCCGAGTGACCCAGACGTCTGGACATTTGACGTCTGGACTACGTAGGATCAGATGTTGCGAAATAAATTGTACGAAATTCGAATTCACGTAGGGTTAAAATATGATATTAATGAAACTTTCCTTTTAACAGTATCTTGTTATAAAATTGCATTATTGTTATGAGTAATAAAATTTTGGCATTCATTTATTTTTAGGAAAATATTCTTCATAAATAAAAGGGGGTTCCAGCCTCAGCTCGCTATCCGTTGTCAAACCCTAGAAATGACAGTTCATTTCAAATCGTTTAGCAAACGATATCTTTTCTTGGAGAATCCGCCTCTGAGAACTTTCAAATGCATTGCAAAAATAGAACATTTTTACTTAAAATTATGAAAGTAAAAGTGAATAAATATTGAAAATTTCGTTGATAATGTGATTTATATTTAATTTTATTTTAAGGAATATAATATAAAAAAATACAACTTGAAGAAATTAATTAAAATAAAATTAGTTTAAAATATGCATTTATTCATATGTAAACAAAAGGTCGTTCCACTCCCTATTCAGTATAGCTCGCCTCAGTATCGCTCAGTATCGATAAGCTTAAAAATGTTCATAATAAGCATTTAATTAGTAGCGCCTACTGTCAATAACTGAAATTTATTGAAGATAGCCCGATGATAGCAATTTTCTAAATATTTTTTTCTCTATATAACATTTTTAAAACAAGTATAATATTACAAAAACGAATGGATATGGTTTTACCTTTTATACTAGATTTATATATTATCTATATACTATAAAAAAATGTAAAAGCTGCTGTGATTTGGTTGTTCAATTTTACGTAACATTTTGTTTTGTTGCGCAAAAACTGTAAGACTTAATAGTTTGAAATTATGAAGATGTGTTTGAAAATTTGCACGTATAGTGGAATAAAAAATTGACATTTTGTAATCAGTTCCAAGAATTATTGACTGTTAAATTCCAAGCAAGAAATACGATGTGATTTCATATGCTTCTCTCTAAAATTCAACGACAAAGTTGAAATTTGATGATTTGAATGTGCTATTTTTGTTTATAAACTTAACATGGGTGTTTTCCTTCGAAATTTCAATTTGTTCGAAACTTGTGGCAACTTCAAACTTTTTTAATGTTTTTTTGTTAAATAATGACTTTTTATCCATTTTTATTTCATTTTTTTTTCTGGGAAAGTTTATTATCTATCTCGATATCAGCGTTTTATAAGGCATAACATGATCTTAAAAGTTACAACAACAAAAAATACCAATAAATAAAATTGAAAAAAATAAGAATGAGAAATTTATGCTAAATATATATCTCAACATGTATATCAAAATTATCAGGACAAAATAATCTTTCAATAAATTATCGACTTTTAAGTAAAAAAATTAGTAAACCAGAATTCACTGGGATTGGCATGCGAAGCGAGCTAGAGGCGAAGCTTCCTAATCAATTAAAAAACACGCCACTTAAAACTACACTATTATTATCAGCAAACTGTAACGGAAAAGTGGGAAAGCTAACTCAATTCTTACATCATCTTTTCAAGAAAAGAAAAAAAAGATTGAATCTCCTCATAAAAAGTGATAAAAAAAGAGAGAAAATGATAAACCTCAGGCATTTCCGAACAAAAACAAAACCTCTGAGGGTGGATGGAAAACGCGGAGAATTCTTAGTGACCGTCCGTGCCTAGTGACCAGCTCTAATGGAAACCAAATGTTCGATTCACACAGTAATCGAATGCTATCTCTTTGTCATGAGAAATATTTCTCTTCTAAACAATCTTTTTATATAGAACAAATATTTCTAAGCAGATTATTTACGAGTCATGCAGAGGAATCATTTACACTAAATTGGAATTATTAATCAACAAATCTCAATCAATTAATCAATATCAATTTAAACTAAGACGGAGAATTATTACCACTCTCTTCAAATATAATTTTTAAAGGTTTCAAAAGCTGCTTCCATTTTATTTACTAAGATGCTTCAAAGACAGCATATAAGATATTATTCTTATTACTGTTGTGAGTACTTAACTGTTTTAACTGTTCTTGTGAGTACATAACAGTTCTTTTGACTGTAAGGTGCTACTGTAAGGTTTGTCCATTTTTAGCCAGCCCCATTTAAGCTAGTTATGAAATTGGAGCAAAATATCAACGTTAAGAAAAGTCACAGTTTTGTGAAAATGAACGTATTTTTGATCCAAATTTTTAGTATTGATTTATAATATAATAGTTCAGGCCGGGATAGCCTGGTAGGTAGGGCACTGGGCTCATGCCCAAGAGGTTGTGGGTTCGATCTCCGGCCGAAGAATCCCTGTGTAATAGATGGTGACTGGTGCGCGTTAAGTCTGCCGAGTCACAAAGTCCTCGATGTTCCCACAGCAAATAATACCTCTGGAGGTACTGATCAAGGAGTTTCCTTGTCTTCTGGTTTGATTCAAAATAACAAGGCTACGGAGTTGAGCATTAGTAGTCGTAAACACATAATTGGGTCGGCATTTCAACGACAGTTATAAAATAAAATGAAACACAGTTTCACTAAGGATGTGTTACAGCTTAAGTGTATAAATCAATAATTCTTTAAATTGTCTTGCTGATATGTAGATTAATTAGGGTAATCCGTAAAGGTGTCAAAAAAAATTTTTTCTTCCTAAAATTACGTAAGTAATCTGTAAACTACCTAGATAATCGATACATTACCTGCTAGGCACTAAAGTGAAAATAAAAAAATTTCTGATAGAGCGATAACGTTTCTGTATATTTGATTGAGCATAATTTCATTCATCCATATTTTACTAACTGAAAGATGAAGTTACTACAGTCAAGCAATCAACGCATTAATTGATTGAATCAATCATCAATCACAGTAAAAACTATAGTACAAAGAATCAATGGTTTAAAATATTATAACAATTATAGAAATTAACATATCATTATTTATTTTTCGGTGTATAAAGAACCAAATGAATACAAGTAATCAACCAATACATTAATTTATAGAATAGGAGAAGCAAACTTTTGAAGTTTTAGAACACTGAAAACGTTAATTTTCCCCATAATTAGGTAAATTGTGGAAAACGCTTGATTCTGACCTTTAACGCATCACCCTAGTTAATTTGCTGATAACTTAATGTGCATATTAACAGTATTCAAGCTTTAGCTGTAACAGATCAAGCAGTTTAACAGTTTAAGCTCAAGCAATTATTCAGTGATTTCACTAATTTTTATCGAGGAGGAAAAATCTCTCCAAAGCATTTTTAACAAAATAGTAAGATTTAAAATCCAGACTATATAT